TTATTATATGAATTATATTTAATATTATAATTATAATAAAGAGTTCTCAATAAATTATTGAAAAATTAATAGAAAAAAAAATTAATGTAAAAATTAATAAAAATTATATAAAATTTTAAAAATTGTTACTATAAAATGGATATTTTGTGTATATAGTTTCCCAATGGGAACATTAAATGTTTGTCATAACAGATTTTGTATACAATATTAAATTAACACAAAAGATTCAAACTATATGTAAGTATTTGTAATTATTTTGAAAATTATAATTAAAAATGTGTGAAATATTTTTGATAATATTTTTACTTAATTTAAATTTAGTATTAAAATTAGAATTAAAATGCGGGGGGGGGGGGAGGAGGGCGGTATATACAGAGTGTAGTATAATTACTATATATAAATTATTTTAATAACAAATTAAGGTAAATTTTGTGCATTTTATTTAAAATTTGACATAATAAAATAATTGGAAGGGTTTGCTAATTAATGGTATATACAAATTAGTTAATTTTACTATATATAGCTATAGATATTATACTAATTTGTATATTAATTTGTAAAAAGTTTCAATATTTTTTACTTTTACATAATTTATATGAAATTTTCAAAAATCTTATAATATTGTTCTTCTTTTTTTTCCATACAAATATGAAATTCAATTTTAATTCTCAAATGTCATCTCAATTAAAAATGGGGTTTTCTTATAGCATTTTGTTAAAATATTCTTTCTCGTTTCTCTCTATAATTTACATACAAAAAAAAACACTTTTCTAAAATAATGGCGTACTAACTACGGTTGTATTTTTTTTTTTTTTGTTTTATAAATTTCACCTACCTATGATTTTAACTATTTTTATTTTACACCAATATAATTATTATAATATATATATTTACATATTATTATATATTTATATATTATATATAATGAAATTCACATATATATTTTTGGATTTTATTTTTCGCATCAATAAATTTTTTAGTATTTCTTACTGAAAATGTTTTAAACAGAAAATATTTAAGAGAATTTATTGAATATTTAACAAAAAAAATTAAGGGTTACCATATTAATTGAATATATACTTGAAAAAATACGTTATAGGTTAATGAATATAGTTAATCAGTACTTCGGTGGGTTATGCTGCATATATAAAATAATACAATGTGTGTGTGTGTGTGATAATGCCATATATATGTGTCAGGTTTCCAAGCTAAAATTATTTTCGGAAATTTTGAATCAGACAAAAATACGAAAACAATTTTTAATGTTTTATTTCCGAAGTATGCCGATTGAAATATTTTTTTATTTTTTTGTAAAATTTTTGATTATTCTTTATAATTCTCATTTTATTTAGTATAGCTTTAAAAGTCCTCTAGATTATAATTATTATTTTTTTTTTGCTTTTCTCTGCAATTAATTTTTAAATTCTATTTCTTATTCAAAAATTTTACTCTATAATTCAGTACCCTTTCATTTGGAAGACAGACAACCAACGCTAAAAATTGAAATTTTTTTTTGAAATTTAAATTTTAAATTTAAAAAAATGTGTAGAATCAGTAGAACCAAAACTATTGATAAATTTCCGTCACATAAATAAATTCCGACACCGTTTCCATTTGAACTCCACATAAATTTGGAATTTATTTTTGGATTTGCTCTCTGTGCTTGATGGCCTCATAGATATATATGGCATTAGCGTGTGACATTTTTATGAAACTGAAAAATTTTTATATGCATGCAAAAGTACTGATTTTTAATTATAAATTTAAATTTAAAATTTTCCTTATTTGTTTTTTGTAAATGGAAAAAAAAAATATGAGAGATTAAATCCAAAAATATTTTTTCAAATTTTTCATTTATAGTTCAAAAAAAAACTGAACTTAAGATATACAAAATTGCTTTGTTAATATTCACATTTATTTTTTTTTTCTTTTTTTTTGGATTTTTAAACACTATAGACCTTTTTCCTAAATTTCAAAAAAATTTCTTAAATCCTAAACACATCAAAAATATTTTTATAGTGTCATTTTTGTCTCATTTTTTTTTTTTTTGGCAAAAAAAATTTTTTTTTTAATATTTTTAATTAATTTTTTTATTTCTTTTTATAACAATTCGTTTTCTTTACACGCAACGCTCAAAAAACAATCAATTTTTTCTCTTCTTGTAAAATAAAAATTTTTGATTGGCTTTGTATAATAGTTATGCGCTAGCCTAAAATATGATTTCAAATTTTTTTTTTCACAAAATTTTGTTATTATATGACGTTTAAATTATTTATAATAGATTAATTGTGATTTTAATATTTATTTAATTTAAATTTTAATTAAATTTTGGGCACAGAATTAATAACATAAATTTTTATTTCGCCATTTTTAAGTTTAGCCTTTAAAATTGCAACTATTGCAAAACAAACTTTACAAAATATTGATGAAATATCATTTAAAAAATCTATTGTCTGACTCATATACAGAAATAGTATTGTGTGGAAACTGGCGGTTTTTGAAAATTACATGCCAAAATTTCATGTCACTCAGATGTAATTACTTTAAAGGTAATTAATTTGTTTTGTGATTTTCAATAAATAAATCGGGTTTTTGTAAATTAAAATAAAAGCAGAAAAATTTGTTTTTACAATTCATTGATAATTTCTACAGTAAATTTACTGACTGCTATTTGGGAATTACGAGTAATATGCAAATTTTAAATTGAAAACCTTTGCGCGATTTGTAGTACAAAAAAATGAAAAACAAATCTTAGTAATTGAAAAGATTACAAAGTAAGAGGAGTTTAAAAATGAAGAGGGGAATAAAATTTTGGAAGTCACGACATAACAAATTGAAATAGAGGAATGTCTTGTAAAAATGTTAAATGACTAATTTTTAACGAACTGGGATTACACCTCTTATTGTGATTTGAAAATAAAAAAATGTCATTTTTGTAACAAATTATTTTGACACTTATAGTTGTAATGTATATACACGTTATTAGTTTTCCCCAAATACAACAATCTAAAATAATACAATAAATTTTTTTAAGGTAGAACTAAATACAGTGGCGGATCTACCATATATGCAAAGTATGCATTTGCAATGGGCGCCGGAAGGCAGGGACATAATTGAAAACTTAGCAAAGAAAATCAAATTTTAAAAATTAAAATTGTTTTCCATCATATGTATTTTCCAAAAATTGTTTATAGTGGAAACCACATAATGAGGCGCACTTTTTGGAAACCGCGTACGGCGCCAAACAAGGTAGAACCGGGCCTGACTAAATACCCAATATTGTTGTTAAAATTCAGATAAATTTTCTAATTAACCTTAAAATCGAATTATATATGAAATATTTTTATAATTCAACTTTATTATTAAATTTTAAAAATATTTTCACATAAAATTTTTAATCAATAATTATTCGAAAATTTATACAAAATATATTTGTAAGGTACAAAGGATAAAACTGCGGTAACGGTGACCCAAAAAAAAAAATTAAACTTTTAAATTTGGGAAGGTGAAAAGGGAGAAAAAAATAACTTCATAATTTACGCTCCACTTGTTATACGAAAGAAACAAGAGTTTACGTTCAAGCGTTTAAGAGCTCTTTGGTATTAAAAATGCAAAAAAAAAATCCGGTTTTTTAAGTTTTCTGCTTTCATTCACAGTAAATTTTTTCTTTTTTTAAAAAATTCTACCCACTATTCTGGCGAATTATTAATAATTTTTTTAGTGTTTTTTTTTTGTTTTTTGAAATTGTCAAGGATTTGACCAATTCAAGCTCAGTATAAAAAAATATTTTGTTTTACCGTTAATAATTAAATTAAAACCATACATTTATTTATGCATGATGGCGTTCATGTGAGAAGGACAAAAAAAAAAATTCCATTTTATTTTTCTTAATTTTTTTTTTAACGTTTTTGATTTTTTTGTTTTCTGGTTAAAATAATTCACCTTTATGATATTTAAGCTGCTTAAATATTCTTTGAACAATAAAAAAAAAAGGAGTAAAAGCATTAAACATAATTATTATTATTCACCCTACTGATTTTTTTTTTATTTTTTAAAAGGACTCAATATAAAAAGGACTAAAAATTTATTTTAAATATTTTCATAAAAACAAAGTATAATTAAATTTAATGTGCGATTATATAACTACATAATATTTTATATGTATTTAAATTTTATACTGTTATAATTATGGTAATTATAAAGCTATAAAAATATTACATTATTCTTTTTTTAAAAATCAGAAATAAGCCAAATAAAATTCCCATTTACAGTTATATGGGTTGTCTTCTCTCCAACTTAATATTATTTTTTTTATTATTAATTAATTTCCAATTAAATTATATTATTATTTAAATAATTAAAACTTAAAGTTTCTTAGAGAATGCTATATGAAATCTCTTCTTAAAATCCTTAGAAATATAATATTTATAAAAAAATGAAGCAGTATAACAGTATAAAAGTATAAAAATATTTAAATTAAATATTTAATTCTTAATTATTTAAATTCAAAAAGGAGTTGGACGTGATTTAGAAAAAAAATCTACTTTATTGTTGACGAATTCATTTTCCAGGTACGAGTACCATGTACAATTTTTGTAAGCAATTTTATATTATATAAGTATAAGGCTTCTGTGCCTTCTGGTATAAGTAAAAAAAAATATTGTGAATTTTGTTTATTTTTTAACCAAAACAATTTTTTCTAATTTAGAAGTGTGTTTTTCCCACTTCTTATGAAATGCATCAGAAAATGAGTTTAATTTTATGGAAAAATAAAATTATGTAACTGTTTTCTTTTTCCATTATAACTTTCAATATATACGAGTATATGCAACTTTGCAATAACAAAATATTTTAATAAATTTAAAAAACAAAAAAAATTTAAACGTCATTTTCAATTTACATTCGTTTTAAATTTTCCATAATACAATATTATATATATATATATATATATATATATATATATTATTTATTTTATTAATTATAATTATACAAATATTATTTTAATTATACACTCCTCTAGTTAAAGCTTCACGATTTCTAGTATGCCATTTACATGTTAATATTCTAACATAAGTACGACGAAATGATGCATTACATAATGCATAACAAACTGGATTTATTGTTGAATTTATATAACATAATGCATAAAAAAAATCCCATAATTCTTGTGGTATACATTGTGCTCCACATGTTGTTAATGGTTTTATTAAAACTAATATATTATATGGTGTCCATGTAAGTATAAAACTTAATAATATAGCTGATAAAGTTTTTGCTGCTTTTGTTTCTTGACGTTTCTCTTGTGATTTTTTCTTTTTTTTAGCTTGACGTGCTGTTAATGGTGGTTTTGCTAATGGTTTTGGTATAATTTTTGCATTTAATGGTATACGTATATCTGGTGTTGCATGTGACATACGACGATTAATTGCTGGTAAACTATATTCTGAATCACGTGATGGTAAAGGTCTTCTCGGTGGTACTGACATAACAGGTAAAGGAACATCATCATGTATCATTTTAATTGATGGTGCACGTTCATCACCAGTACCACCATCTGGTGGTAATCTTATTAATATTGTATATACAGAATCTTGGCTAACTGAACGTGAACCAAGACGATTACTATTATTTGATGGTAATGATCGCGAATCACGTGGTCCCGGTATTTCTTGTAATTGTGTTAATGGTGGCAGCTGTGGTCTTAATGTTGTTGATGTTGGTTGTGATGGTGATACATCTGGTATTATACTAACCATACCTGGTCGATTTGTTGCATATGGATCACGTATAACATTTAATGATGTACACCTAATTGTATATAAGTAAAATAAGAAAAAAAAAAAGTAGGGGACACAAAAATTTAAAAAAGAAATATAATTAAATTCAGAAATATATGATTGTATATGCAATTTATTTTATAAACAATACTATTTTTGAATAAGAAACAAAATTAAAATTATATATAACCCAAAAATAATAGCAGTTGATAAGCAAAAGTTTAATAAAGCAACAAAATTTTCAAAAAAAAATAGAAATAGAAAACAAATAAAATAATATTTTTAAATAATATATTCAAAAAGAGCTGTGATAGTTTAACAAATAATTCACAAATAAAAATTATGAACATTTAACTGTGACAATTGAACATCAAACACAAAAATTTGTATTGCCTTGTATCTTCACTAAAGGTAATAAATAATCGTTTCGAATACCTTAAAAAATACATACTCAGACTTGTGGCATAAAATGAAGGCGGTTGCTTTAGTCAGTGATGATGTGTACGAAATATTAAGATGCTACTGCGTAACGCTGTAATAGAACGAACTAGCCTTCTGTAGGTAAACAGAACAACATTATGGCGAAAAAGAATTTCTGGTTAAAACCGTCCGGCAAACGGTCTTTGTAGAGATGTCTTTGTAAAAAAGGAGAGGGAAAACAGTGATCATATGCCAATTTTCGGACTTAGCAAATATTAAAGGGTCTTAACCGGTTTAATTCAGGCTGGTTCGAATGAGAGAAGGGAGAGGAGATCAGCCGGTACTTCAACGAACCCAAATGACCTAATGTAACCTTACAATATGGAGTTCTCATTGACAGAAGAAACGAATCACTCGATAAAGAGTTGTGGAAGGTTGATTCTCATACGATCATATCACTTTCAAAGTAGTTTTTCTGTCTCCCGTCTATTTATTTCTGTTAAATGTGTTACGGATGTGCTTTGTGCAAATATTTTAACTATCTTATGAAGTTCATTATACACATTTACAAAAGCTATAATTTTTTTAAAAAAATTAAAAAATAAAAGCATTCACATATAGCCATTCACATAATAATGAAACCAAAGCAAAAGGAAAAAAGCAAGAAAAAAAAACAAAAAAAGAAAAAAAGAATGAGAAAACAAAAAATTAAAAAGAAAAATTCTAGATCTATTGAAAATTCTAAGGTGTAATTTTCTAGTGTGTATTTTTTTTTTGTTTCTAAAGGAGGTGCGACTGGGTTAGGTGCTCTTGTGTTATTTGGGGAAGGAATATAAGGGTATTTGTTATTGGTTTTAATTTTTATTTTTCATTTTATTTTTTTTTTTTTTACATATTAAAAACGTTCCTTTAACATTATTTTGGTGCGATTTTTGTTAACTTTTATTTTTACTATGCTGATTTTTTGTGCCAGAATGTGCTATTAAAATTTTTTATTTTTCTATTTACTTTTGCTTATTTTTATATAAAATAAATACGAACAAAAAAAAAACAAAACGTTTAATTACTGAGCTTTGCCGAAAATTCAATTTTGTACTTTTTTTTTTACTTTGAATAATAAAAAAAGCTAGTGCTTTTCTTATGACATTTTTTTATATAGCAAAAAATCGAACATTTAAAAAGTGCACTGTAACGAAACGAAAACAAAAAAAATGAAAACAAACAAAAATGCCTAATTTTTTTGATTGTTTTTTTTTTTTATTTTTTTGCAAAAAATAAAGATTCTTAATTTTTTTTCAAATACGAAAAAACATCACACAATTTTTTTTTTCAAAAAGAAAAAAAATAATAAACGTCAAAAATTCAAATAAACAAAAATAAAATTTAAAAAACGAAAAAAAACAAAAACAAAATAAACACCGATTTTCCGTTATTATTATTTTTTCTTTAATTTTTAATTTTTTTCTTGAAGGTTTTTATGTTTTGTTATTGGTTTTTTGTTTTTTACTACCTGGATACGGAGCTTTGTAAAGGAGTTTCTATGGATACAGGTGTTGCATACCCTAAGTCAGATGGTTCCTCATGTTCATAACCAACACCACCAAAATCATCTGAATCTTCACGACCAGAATGCCACCACGCTATACACCATTCTTTTATACCGCTAAAGCAGTTATGTGATTTTTTTAGGCCGTTTGCATTTGATAACTGTAATTAAAGAAAAAGTAAATTTTGTTTTATTTTCTATACTCATAATTTTCTTATTTTACTCTTGAAGTAATTTAACAAGCGAAATTTGAAATTATGCGACTATAATTGAGATTTGACGGCATTACTCTTCCTTTTATGTTTATATTCACAATAATGACATTAATTGTCAAAAAGAAGGAACACATACATGATATGTTATGTACTGATATTCTTGTTTAATTAGATATTGATAGTCATTTTTGTATGTTCAACTAAAGGGGTGCTAAATAAGTTAATAAAAAAAAAATAAATAAAATTCCAGAGGAGAAATTAGAGATTTCATTTTATTTTATTCCTTCACTACATTAGTTTTTTTAATTTTAATTGGATATTACGATATACTTACTTAATAGGGCGGATTTAATATTTGAAGAGTTTACAATAAAATTTGGATTACAGTAACCACAAGGTGTCGCCACTAACATTAAATGGTAACTTCAACAAAGTCAATAAAATGCTAATATTATATAATATGTAACTATTGAAATAGGTTGCTTTTGTAAATCCAAAAATTCACGATACTCGTAAAAAGTAGGACAAAAAAGGTAAAAAATAATTAACAAACAATAGCGAACATGTAATGGACCAAACATAAAAGCGGAAGAAATAGATTTAATTAAAACTGTTTTCTATTTGAATAATTACGATATCATTTATTATGATAATTTACGATAAAACAAATTTTTCTTGTAATTCCAATTTTATTTCCAATCATTTTTAAAAAATATACAAAAATCCCAGTAATTTATTTTATAAAGTATGTAAGTTAAATTTTATTTTAAAAAAATTTCTTATCTTTCATATACAAAAAAAAAAAATTTTTTTTTTCGACAAAATAAACTTTTTCCTATCGTTTGCATTGTTTTTTTTTTCAGCACTCTAATGGGAGGAATTTTTCCTACAATATTTTGGTGTCTATGTAAATTGCTATCTATTATTCTTAGAGCTTAAAAAAAACTTTTTCTGTTCCTCTGAAATAAAAAAGGTACTAGTATAAAGGAGAGAAAATAATGTGTAAAACATTCTGTTCCTCATGTAACTAGTTTCTATATACATAGTATAACATTTTGTTATAACATAATATAACAGTGATACATAACATTTTAACAAATTCAAATCTTCTTTTTTATCTTCTTCAATGCTACACATTATTATGTACATTATGTTCCCAGATATACATACGTATACATATATGTATATACCTGTTTTTTGAAATGACAATACAAAAATGTTAATGTTATATGAAAAGACAATGTACAATATATTGTATAGAATATGTACATATATAGAATTTTTTATCTGTTACATTTAGTATTAATGTGCAGGGATAACAAAAGCAAAAAAAAAAAAAACTTTCATTGAAAACAAGAAATTGTGAGAAAATGAAAAAAATAAGGTTCCTTTCGATCTTCAGTCAATTCCTGTATTAAATGCTAATCGATTGAATGATTAAGTATGTATATTGTAGTAGGAAGAAATCGATTTGTTGGGCATATCTAGTAACTAGTTTTGAGAAAAGAGAATAAAGAAATAATTCACGTATTAATAGCAGTGTCATTGCCATACTTTTATATTAATCTTTTAATATGAAATTTATTATAAAATATAAAAGTATTATTATCGGCCGTATTGCATACAATAATGAAGGTTAGGTATGATAATACCTGATTTCGTGTCTTGAGCTTTCGAGGGTAATGGGTTTGTTATTCTCGAGAAGAGTAAATAAAATATTTGCAGAAACATGTCTAATTGTCTGTCAATCACTCTATGTACTCCTTCATTCTCAATTCGTTGATTTTATAAACCAGTAGGTTATATTCAACGCGGCTCTCAGAAAAATAATATACATAGTGTGTAATAGTCGGCTAAATATTAAATTATTTAATCACGACCAAATCGTTTTCAATAACACTGTGGTAACACTGTATGTTTTATTTCATATTATAATATCAAATCATATTCTTGAAAAATAAGAATATAATACACGATGACATAAAATATAGAGGAAAATAAATAAAAAAGGAAGTTTAAATATAAGAAAAAATATTTTTCTTGAATGAGTTCCATAAAAAACTATGATTAGAATATTTTTTTAGAAAGTTTTTATGCATATAGAAGAAACCGGAAAAAAACATCAAAAAGTAGTTCAAATTCGAAATATTCAAATTAAAATTTTAAAAGAATAACATGCGACTAATGCAAAATGCAATGTTTTTAATCAAAAATTCAATTTCATTCATATCTATAATTAATAAGGAAAATATTAAGATTACATCACAGTTTCACATGCCGAATTTTGAACGTCAACACATTACACTAAGCTGAGGAATTCCAAATTAATCACTATTAGTGAAATATTAACCTCTTGGTTGGTCAATCTTGAACCTTCAATATTTTTGTTAAATTAACTAAAACCTTCTTATCTTATATTGAGGAATTAAAAGAAGTTCAACTTATTTTACCAGTAGGTCGAATATGGTAATTTAGTATTTTAAAAAATTACATATGATTACATAATATGTAAGAAATAGTACGAATAAAGCCTTCATATTAGTTGTTTTTACATAAGTTATACACAATATACCACTCGGTTAATGTCTTATATGTAAATCCTGTCATATAGACAATATTTTCATTGTATATAGTATTATAACAATATGAAATATTACTTTGTTTACTAAAATGTTTTAGAGATTTAAAGTGAAAAACACATTTTTTTGTAAGATGATGAAGAAGAAAAAATTTATTGTAAAAAGTGAGTACAACAAAAAACTTTATGTTCCAAGTTTTTGAAAAATTTTTATTGTTGTTTAATTCGAAAGCACAGTTATTAAAGTGTAAAATTTAAAGTCAAAAACCAAAAAATTCAATGTGAGTTGTTAGAAAACAAAATGGTTTTAAATATTACGCGACTATAGAGTGCAATATTTTAGGTTTAGTTTTTCCAACCAGTTTCACAACATAAAAATTTTAATAGAGCAAAGTAATAAAAACTTAAAATTCAATAACATTTTCATAGACCTTTAGAAAATTTTTATTTTAAATTTATTGTTGTTAAACTCATACATGTTGAATTTGACAAATTAAATTTGTATTGTTTTGTTCATGCATTAAAATTAGTAATTTTGTGGAGTTTTTTAAAATTTTGAAATCAAATTTTGGCTTTGCTCTACAACTTTAAATCTACAATTTTTCATGTTATAATGTACAATATTAAAAGATACGATAATATTATATAATATGATATAAACTATGGTAAGGAGCTACAGCTAGTCAACTACATATTTTATGAAAAGTCAATTCAAACCAAAAATGAATAAAAATTTTGTACGCTTCTCTGTTCAAATCAATTTTAAATATAAAACTCTATACATCTAAAATAAAAAAGACAGTAAGAAGGAACTAAAATAAATTATAAAGGACTAAAATAGAAGTTCCATTACGTAGCTTTCCGGTTTTATTAGATAATAATTATAGTAAATTGAGGATAAAATAATCGAATTTTGGTTAAAAGGAAAATAAATTGGATTTTAATTGCACTATATTAACTTAAAAGTGGAAACAAGTAACTATATAATTTGGACGGCATGTTCTCAAATAATATATATTGTCATATATAAACTTTCTATGTACCATTACTTAAAGTATAAATGAATTTATCAATACCATTATATTGCAGTAAATTTTAATCACAAAATATAACAAAAATTGCATTGGAATATTGACATATCAATAGGAAACTTCTAATTTTTTGCTTTCTCCAAAGAGTATATTAAAAAAATAATCTTTTAAAATGTCAAAAAATCTTTCTTTCACGAAAAAAGTTTTACAACATTTTATAAAATTTTTCATATATTGTAACTCTTACACCGGGAAAATTTTATAAGAGAATGTAAAAATAAAAGTCAGGGGATCTTATCTTGTCCTAATTTAATTTATATACACTTTTTCTTTTTAGAAAATTAGATTATCACGTTTACTACACTATATATGTACATCCATACAGGTTATACATTTCTGCAAGTATTCACATACTTATATTGTAAATAGCAGAATTTTTCGAATACTATGAATTTATTAAAACAAAATCCCTTAAATTTAATATTCTTGAATATTAAAAATTAAGGAGTAATTTAATGGTATTTTATTTAATTTGATAAATGACGTTACATGCATAAATTCGGGCTTAACGCCAAAAAAAAAACAGTTATTTTGGCCCATGCGATACGCAATCCAATTCGGAACATATCCCAAGTAAAACTTAAAGCTTCTTTCTCATTTACTTGAAAATTTTATAATTGAAAAAAATTTTGTGACACGTTACCATTGCGCAAATCCATTACACACAAATACATTTTTCTTAAATTTCTGTTAAAAGCCTACTGGAAAGCGAATATAATAGAAGTATGTAAGTGGATTCATTAATCTGACAGATGAAGGAAGTAATTTGACAGATGTCAATTATAATATTTTGAAAATTTTACTATTTTTTTTTTTTTTGCAATTCATTTTATTTTTGAAAGTTGTAATGCTTACGGTTAGTTTTTATTTTTTAATTGTGGAGATTTTTTCACAACGCCATTACAGTAATTTGATAGTTCACATTTTCACAGTCATAATATAAAATTGGCACTCCCTCATATAAGGCCGCCAGTTAAACTTATTATAATAGAAATTTTTTTTAAAACAAAACCTTTTATCAAATATTAAAGTGACATTGATTATGAATATCGTTTGTAAATTAAATTTGAAAGGTTATTATTAGGAGCTTATTATTACCTTTATGAGCTTATTATTTAAAGATTTAAAGGCTTTAATAAAACTCAAAACATTATGACTTTGAACGGTTCCTGCTTGACACTATATTCCGAACAAAAATTTTATTTATTTTCGACTCTCTACCTTCCAATGGTATATGGCATTTAACTTATTCCTGACTAACCCTATATTATTCGGCTATTTTAAACTGAGATCCGAAAAGTTTGATTTTTTTTAACAATTTTCTTCATTTTTCTATTTTATTATCCAAGACGATTATTCATAAATATTTTTATAAAATATTTTTTTATCGTATTTACAAAAATATAATTTGTAAAATTACATATCTATAATTTATTTATTCAATCAGGTCGCATGAAATATGAAAGACATAATACAAAAATTACAAAAATATTTTCCGAAAATTTTTACGATTTTAACATTTTACTTAAAATCATATTCTGTTTTCTTATATTTACATATTATGTACATGATATATATATCTATACAATATATTTCAATCTGTAAGTATGTAAATGTCATATTTTGGGTAGATATCACACATACACATTCATGTACTGAGAAAGGATTCTGGTTCTTTTTTTTTGTATTGGTTTAAACTCCAATTCCTATTCATATTCCAATGTATTGTAAACTCATATACGAGTATATGAACGATTACATCTTTCGCAATATTTGTTCGGTCTTCAATATTTTAAAATTTCTCGGCAAAGTTTTGGGAATTGTTTTAACTTTCAACAATTAAAATTTGGATTCAAATATTAGAATTAGAAATTGAAGATTACAATATTGAAGAAAATTAGAAGAATTTTAATTCAAAATTTTTATATTAAAGTTATGGAATTTAGTTTTTACGAATTATACCATTATTTTATCGTAAAAATATCATCATTTAAAATTCTAAGAGTATTCTTCCATTAAAACTTTAAAATAATTGAATTTCATATAAAATATATTGGGTTTAAATTGTATGTATGTACATATAAAAGTTTTGATTATTTTAACAACATTGACATTTCATATACAGAAATAATATCCTTAAATTGATGAAGGCACTTTTATTCATCATATTCTTTGTATAAATTATTTCTTGTCCCTTTATTGGAATATTCTGAGGGCATATATAAATTCAAGATTTAAGAATATATTTTTGTATAACGTATATATGTGTACAATACTATAATATTTATACATATGTTTTATATTTTTATGTATGTATATAGTGTAATAAATCAAAAACTCTTATATACTTGGTAAAATGTGGTAATGTAAAGTGGTTGTGGGAAAAAGCAAATGTTGCATATTATTTGACTTTAATAAACTGGTATTAAGTAATATTTTATTAACTTGTTATTTTACGATTTAGTTTTTATTCTTCTTTTATTATGATATATTTTTGATGTTGTTGAATTTTAATTTGCTTATAAATCTTTGATTATGCATGTATATGGAATTGTTTTTTTTTTTATATGCACATATATTTATACAGATGAATATTTTAATGTTGCAAATAAAACTTAAGGCGCTTGATTTATCTCTTTCGCTTATTAAACTTTTTATGTATATTATATTTGGATATAAAAAGAAATATCTTTAAAATTACTCTAAATGAAAATGAAATATATTACAAAAATATATTGGCTGTACATAATCGAACATACGATAAAAGACAAACAAACTACATACAGTTTTTGAACAGAAATATTGATCGTATATCACAGAATCGTATATCACATATTTAAAACGAGAAAAAAATAGAGTTGACCGTGTTAATTCTGTGATACCCATATGAATTTGTTATCCTATGTGCCAATAATAATATCATAGCTGACTGTGGGAGATTTTAAGTTGCCATATTCCCATTTTAATTTATGCAAAATTTCAATACTGTTTTTCTATAAGATATGGCCATACTACTATTGAAGTTGTATGGCAGCTACCAAAAAGAGCCAAGCAATTTCAACGAATTTTGTTTTGTCAAACACATCGGCTCTGCTAATATATTTATTAGTGTGAAATTTCAATGCAACAGCTTTTACAGTTTCTGAGATATAGTCAAATAACTTTTGAAGTTGTATGGCAGCTACCAGAAGGAGCCAAGCAATTTCAACGACTTTTATCAAACATATTGGACCTACTAATATATTTTTTAGTGCGAAATTTCAATACTAAAGTTTTCATATTTTCTAAGATATAGTCAAATAAATTTTGAAATTGCTACCCGAACCAGTACCCCGATTATATCCAATTTAAATAGGGTTCTGGCATTTACTATAGTAAATCATTTGTGAAAATTTGGTGAACTTCGGTCAATTAGTTTTTGAGTCGTTGAGACGGACGGGCGGACGGACAGACAGAGAAAGCTAAATCGACTCAAAATTCGATGCTGATCAGAAACAAACACTTGAGCCTATATCTCAGACCATTATTTCTTAGCGTTACAAAAAGTAACGCATTTTTTATATAAAAAATGTCAAATTTCTAGGGAAAACTTTTAAGTACTGATGGTAAAGTCTATCTCTTACAAATAAGCTGAAAAGCTTTTAAAGATTTTTAAAATGTTTCTTTTCAGGAGTTTTTCAACTTTATTCAAACTCAAAAATTCATTTCTTCTTATCTATTATGGTTTAGCCAGAAAATACGTTTAAAAATTTTTTATACAATATAATGATTATTAATACAGTACTGTTTAAAATTAGACAGCAAGTTCAAAAAAACAAAAACGCTTATATACGGAAAAACTTTTGCAAACCTTAATTACTTAGACCTGTGTTTTCGATCTTTCAGTACTAAATAATTTTTACAAATTTTCAGTTTTATTATCAATCACAAGAAATATTAATTTTAATTTTTGACTGTAACTATATTATGTAGCATTTTTTTTGTAATGCAAATGTCATACAACGAAATTGCAAACTACAAAGCATATTATTAGAGTATAAGGGAAAATTATTGAACACGCGTACGGCCACTTTCTCATTTAAATACGTAATAATGTATATGTAGTAATAACTTTCATGTTCATACTAGAAATATGAGAATATATTTATATTGTGAGAGAGTAAATGACGAATGATGAAATTTCTTCGAAACATTTTATTTTTTCTTATTCATTTATTTATTTATTTACTTTTTCTTTCCTCTTTTTTATTTTTTTTTCGCAAAATTTAAATGATTTATTTTTCTCTTTTAGTTCTATTCAATTAAATTTTATGTTTCCATTGAAAATTTTTTGACAGATTTGAATCTTAAAATGATGGATTATGCTTTAAAAGCTTCAAAAATTAAGAAATTTATATGAAAATAAGGCGCCATTTTTATTATAATAGATATCGATTAGGTATATCATCGATATCAACATTTTCTTTTTATATTAATATCGATAATATTATAGATTTATGCTATTGTTTCGTTTCATTAATTTTTTATTGTGGAATTTGATTTTTTGTTTTTGGTAAATTCTTAATTTAAATTTATATTTATAATTTTAAAATAAAAAAAAAAATAAATTAAAATTATTCATCTTACACTTGATTTCCTAGATGGTGCTCCTCCACCCCCACCTCCAGTTCCCCCACCCGTGTTGTTATTACTACCTCCTCCTCCTCCAGCTGAATTACCACTGGTACCACCATGATGTGAATAACTAGAATCTGCTAATACTGCATTTGTCATATAAACACTTTCAGCATCAGCTGATGATTCAGATCTTGGTCGACGCCATCCTTCATGTTCGTTATTTCCACTGCCACCAACATGTGAAATACCACCCGAATGATTAACAGCTGTATTTTCATCGCTGAAAATAAAATATTTCATTACTTATAAGTGTTACACAAAAATTTTTAAAATTATACAAAAATTATTTTTTATATGATTAAAGTCAGAAGTAGATTTTATAATTTTACAACAATCTATTAATCGAAAATAAAATATCTTGTTTACGTCAAATGACTGACAGCAACTAAAGCATTAGATATTAATCGTTTTTATTTAGTGATATTCCGATCGAATTTTATGAAAATAAGTCTAAAATTTAGGCTGCTCGTATGAACTGCCTAAAACATATTCATTTTTTACGATATCGATCACCCCGTACCTCTAACAAATATCTAAAAGCTTCATATTAGAAAATTTATTGCAGCTACATTATTTATGAAATATGTACATACGATTACAAATATATTGTTGCAATGAAAAATATATAGAAAATGTTCTTTGATAGCCCCTTGGGCAATGTTTTTGATTCTTCAGGAAACCATGAATCAAAAGGCCGCTAACACATAGTCAAAAAGTAAAATTTTTGTTAAAGTTTTTCTCACTCTCTAAAGTTTCTAATATCTTGAAAATCAAATTTCTTTTGTTACTGCACGTTTTCATATCTTGTTTCTTATTCTTCATTTACACAATACTCTGCAAAGCTACTTCTTGTTTTAAAATTTATTCAAGGTTTCTGTTATTTATTTTATATTTAAAATATTATAGACTTCTCATATATTTAGAAGAATAAAATGGAGAATATTTTAAATAAATATTAAATTTTTTCCATTAGTTCCTTCATTTATGATTTTTTTTAACGGGGGGTGTTCATTCAATATTTCATTTCAAATTCTATTAATGAATACATTCATTTTCATTTAAAAATGATATGACATTGACTTATCATTTAATTCAATTGAGGAACATTGAAAAATGTAAAGATAAAAATCATAAAAACTTTATCTAAAATGTGAAGTCTTAGTTTTAATAAAGCATTTTCTACGTTGTATCGTATAAAAATAAAGTTAATGTTTCCTTTTCAAAAGTTTATGAAACAATGTGTTAATAAAGAATGGCAAAAGAAAACTAGTTGAAAAAAAAAATATTAATTTTACTTTGAATGACATTTTAAAATTATAAAAACAATAGCATTTGATGCAATAAAATAAGACGTTCTTAGAAAAGTATCGAATCAAAACTGATCGAATCGACTGATAATCAGTAGTATATGAAAAGAAGATTAGACAGCTCTACAATATTATCACCAGCTCTATTACAGCTTATCATAAAATTGTGATCATCAGCACTGGTGATAATATTATGTTATATCATGCATTGCAAACTTAAAGTACTCCAGAAAGATCTCAGAATCTATTTTAAAACCTTAGAACTCAATATACCAGTAGAACCTTATAATCAACAGAAGGCCTATTTCAAAATCAGAAAATCACCATATTAGAATTCTTCATGGTGTTCCATATCACAAGATTCTGGGGCTCTCTTATGTAATTCGAATTTCGTAAAATGATATTCGTATTCGGAAAGTTAAGGTAAGTTGAATGTTAAAGTAAGTTAGGTCCCTGTTTATCTAGAATCTTTATTTTATTATACGGAGCTTATAATACAAAGGCGAAAAGAAGAAATTTTTTGTAAACCGAGGATTAAAATAAACAATCTTTCGATTTAGTTAAACTTGAAATATTGAAGATTTTTTCAAGCTCAATTAAAGAACTTTTTTTATTAAAAAGTACGGCCATTGAAAATTTTATTTCTTATTTTATGTTGCTTAAAACTTAAATTTTGTCATTATTTTGCTAAAACAGAACTTGTAAAATGCGTACAATGTTTCCACCGCTATCTACATTTTCATTTTTTCATTAAAAACTTTTTCTGTTTTGTTTCCTTCTTTCTTTACATTTCATACTTTGCGGCCCATTAATTTATATAATAAAAAATATTCTAACAATATAAACCTACATAATACGAGTATGTACATGCTATATATTATAATCATATGTATATACATGTATTCGAAATGTAAAGTAGATTACAAAAAAATTCTTAATATTTACATTTATGAAAATTTTACAGGTAAGCATATAGAACGAAAATTTGTAAAATGAAATAAAAACAGTACGTTCCATTCAGAAACTTGGTTTGTTAATTGAACTTTTAACAAAATTTACTATAAGAGAATTTATGATTAAAAAATATCTAAATTTGTTATTAAACAGCAGTCCATTTGTAAATATGTTACTTAACAAAAGTAAAGCATCCCCTCCCGAACAAGCTTCAGTGGGATTCGGAAAAACAAAATTGCAGTTAATATTTTAAAATCTTTCTCACCACCATTTTTTTGGGATCTGAGATCTTACAAAACTGATTTTGAAAAAAAAAAATGCCCAAATAAAATTTATAGAGATTTTCATGACAATAACAGCACCTTTTCTCTTGGAACTTGCCATTCTAGTGAGCCGCTCTTGTTCAAAACAAATCCGGGTGCGATAAAATAAGCATTTGTGCCTAATTTCACATTTCTAACACTGTTCGTTTCTTAAATATACTGTTCGTTCTTTGAATAACACTGTTCGTTCTTCTTAAACCGACTGAAAATTTCGTTCCTAATAAAAATAAATATGATTACTTTCTAGTTCGTAGTGTTAAGAATGTTTTTGTACTTTCATTAATAAAGGTTGTGAATTCATGACAAATTTAATTATTGGCATTTCAAAATTTGTTCTCTTTATTGATTTGATATTAACAGGTTTTACTGTAGCCAAACACACCAATGCATATTTTAATATACAATCAAAAATGTGTACATAATGTATTTTGTTATTGAAAATGCTAAAAGCGAAAAACATAAGAAAAAATAAAATTAAAAAAAAAAGAAATTAAAATGGCAGAAGAAAAGTTCCGTTGCTTTTTTAATTCTCTGAATTTTTTGTTATCTTCTTTTTTCGCCCTCGAAAAGCTTATTGTGTTTGTTACACAATTTTCTTTTTTTTATGGTTTTCTTTCTTATTTTTAAGATTCGTGAACATGTACGCAGTATGTAGTTGCGATATAATTTTTTTTTTATTCTGATACAAGGAGCATGCAACAAAAAAAAAGATGTACAAATACTAAATAAATGTAAAAGAAAAAGAAAAATAAAAGAAACAAAAATTGAAATTAAAAGTGCAAAAAAGTAACATAATAAGATAAGATGTAAAAATTATAAGGATATAAAAAGGATATTTATATGTTGACAAGTTAACATGACAGCTCTTTTAAATATTCAAGCTTTCTTATACACTTTGTCTTTTTTTTCTTTTCATATATTTCTTTTATGAAAACGTGTATTTGGTTATTGTAATGAAGGGAGAAGAGTGTGATGGTTGCGGTGGTGTTGACGCCGGTTATGTGTGGTAAATATATGATTTCATAATAATACGATTTTCTCTTTATTTTATACGTGTGTACAAAACGTTAATATCCGTGTTGAGATTTTAAAAATGAATTTTTATGCGGGAAAGCACATTTTCATTCTTTTTACATTTTACATTTTGTGTCGGTTGTTATTTTTTTGTAATATATAGTTTTTATTATTTATTCATTATTATTATGTGCACATGATCTTCACATAACATGTATGTATATTGAATATGATATACATACTTTATGTATTTAATGTATGTGGTTACAATAAATTCTTGGAAATAATATAATTAAAAAGTAAGCCAGCCCAACCAAATTTATAATGAAAATTTGTTTTGACATATTTTTTTCTTTTAAATATTAACTATAATATTTATGTATACTTTATTTAAACTGGAAAAGAGTTTGAGTAAAATATGTATCAAAGAATATTTGGTTTTTATAATATTACAAATTTTGGACTTTATTTATTAAAAATCAATTTTTCAAATTTTAAGAAAAAACGACAAAATATAGAGTTGACCGTGTCAACTCTGTAATACCCATGCACGAATTCGTTATCCTATGTTCGAGTAAATACGCCATACCTGACTATGGGACAGACTACCACTGTAAGTTGCAGCATTACCATATTAATTTTTGCAGAATTTCAGTACTATGTTTTCAATAATTTCTAAGACAGTACGCCGATCATATTCAATTTAAACAGGGTTCTGACATTTACTATAATAAGTCATTTGTGAAAATTTGGTGAACTTAGCTCAATTAGTTTTTGAGTTATCGTTAGGACGGACGAGCGGACAGATAAACAGAAAAAAATCTTGTGAAAATTCTCACGGGTTCCTTAATGGAGGAGATCCCGATGCACCTTCTCAATAGGTGTTGAGCAATGGTTCATAAGAGAAGAAATAGTTTTTGTGAAATCCCGTTGATGAGCATGTCGTTGTGGGATATTTCCCTGGAAAACTTAGTTCTCTCATAAGCTTGAACTTTCAAAATATATTTGCATCAGTTATGTTTAATTTTTTTTTGTTTTATTCCTGCTTCGCTCCTGGGAGGAGCATAGGGCTGGTACACGATATTGTAGATAACTTTGAACCAGTTTTTAACGTCATTGAGTTTACTAGGTATATGACGAGCCCACAGTAGTTTTATATTAAATATTTAAGATTATTGATATTTACTATTTTATTTTGCTGGTATTTTTAATATTGGATATTATTGAAATATGGCAATTATAGTTAATATTAATTTTTTTTATTTTTATATGTAATATGTATCAAGCTACATAATATTGAATATAATTTTTATAATGACCTGACTGGGTTTTGAACCCAGGACCCTTCTGTTAAAGGACCTCTGCACCATTGATCAGATCAATTAATTAAATTATTTAAATTAAATTAAATTGAACTAAAATACTAAAAAATTTATAAAATATTTCAATTAACTTAAATTTTTTAGTAGATCTCACCGGTTTTGAACAATTATCAATGAAATAATTTTTAAATAATATTAATGGATAATTGAATTATACAAAAACATATTGTATATACATACTCGTAAGTGTAATGTATATACAATATGTTTAAAGAGTCTTGTATTAATGAATATTAATAA